TCTCATCCCTCTGCTTCAGTGACCCACCTTCTCCAGCTCCTGGTCCTGCCGGTTCATCAATGTCTTCCAATGTTCATAGAGCTCAGGGTCAGAATTCTGGATGTCCTTCAGGGTCCCCTCTCTCTGGGTTGTCCCGTCCTTCATGGCGATAATCTGCAGGCGATCCGCGAGACACGAAACAGACGAAACACAATGACACCTGACCCCCAGACCGGAGCACTATATACTGTATACACTGCATACCATGAGTACTGTACATTGTGTGTCATGTGGGTTACAGCGCCCCCTTACCCAGTCAGCATGAATGAGGTACTGCAGCTTGTGTGTGACCAGAACAGTCGTTCTCTTGTTGTCTCGCAGCATCTTCAGTATCCCTTCCTGCATCAGGTGGTCACTCAGGTGAATGTCCAGAGCAGAGAACGGGTCATCCTGGGGGGTCAGAGGAGAAGATGTGTACAGCACTGCGGTATATGTCAGAGCTACATACATGTACAATAATAATAGTGTGTGACTGTGAGGGGACATTAGAGTGTAAGCTCCTCTGTACAGAGACTGATGTGACTGTGGGGGAGGGGACATTAGAGTGTAAGCTCCTCTGTACAGAGACTGATGTGACTGTGGGGGGAGGGGACATTAGAGTGTAAGCTCCTCTGTACAGAGACTGATGTGACTGTGGGGGAGGGGACATTAGAGTGTAAGCTCCTATGTACAGAGACTGATGGGACTGTGGGGGGAGGGGACATTAGAGTGTAAGCTCCTCTGTACAGAGACTGATGTGACTGGCTCAGTGATCTCTGTACAATGCTGCGGTATATGATGACATGAGGAGGCTCTGTGATGGGGGTGTCCTCGGAGATGACGTCTGCTTTACTCTGCCAGGAACATTTGTCATGTAAGAATTCTGCATGTTTCTCTGCTAAGCTCCACTCTGTTGGGCAGGCACTAGTAATCTCCGCTCTGTTGGGCAGGCACTAGTAATCTCCGCTCTGTTGGGCAGGCACTAGTAATCTCCGCTCTGTTGGGCAGGCACTAGTAATCTCCGCTCTGTTGGGCAGGCACTAATCCTCACATTGTTGTTATTATGGGGTAACTGGCCTGCTGAGGATTACAGCTCTGAGCTGACAACAAGGACAATGTTTTTATTTCCGACCGCATATTACAGATTGTACTTCACGCCGGAGGGTGGAGCATTGTGTGTACTGTGGGTGGAGTCAGGCCATCTTCTGGGGTACAGTGATTGGCTGGTTCTGACACGTCTGTAATGCTGATTTTTTTTATCAAAGGGGGAAAATAGAACTTCTGACTTACTGTAAAATCCTTTTCTTGGGGAACATTAAGGGACACAGGGTGAGTAATTCAGGTACATTGGGGTATACTGCCCCCTACAGGAGATTGCATTCTGGCCAAGAAAGGGGCAAGGACAGCCAGATATAACCCCTCCCACTCCCAACATGCCTCAGTTTAGTAGCAAGCAATAGTAGGAGTGGATCATAAGAAGGGGAGGGGCCTGTGTCCCGTAATGAACTCCAAGAAAAGGTTTCATGGCAAGTCGGAATTCCTGTTCTTTTCATTGTACATTACATGACACAGAA